ATCATATATAATTGTTGTGCCACATAAACCAATGTGAAATATTATCATTCCGTAGAATAAGTTGTGCCCTTACAAATTTTAGGAATTTAGGTGTAATTTATTGACAAATATATTAATAGATATTAGTGACAAAAGTTTAAGTGTTATGTGCGTATAAATTTTAGAGAATTTGTATGTAATATTTTAAGTTGTAAAAAATTAAAATGATTAAGTGAAAATAGAGTTCGGTCACACATGCATATGGTCAAAGATTCTCCACCCACCTGCTCATCCAGTTTTTCTCTCTAAACTCTAATTCAGAGCCCACACCCACATAGACTCTCTCTCTCTCTCTCTTACATACACACGCCCCACTTTCCATCTCCAGACAAGGAGTGGATAGTAGATAAACAAAGGCTAAAGATTTTGTTTTCAGTTTTTTTATTAACCGATGACCAAATAAATCAACGTAGTCTTTTTTTTTTTTTTGGACATACCCACATTATGAGACAGACATGGCGGAGACACTGGTAACGGTGTTAGATAGGTTTTCTTGGGGCTATCATCCTGGATCGCCGGTGTTCCTCCAATCGCCGGTAATGCTAGGCTCTTATCATATAATGAGATTAAATGATCTTGAGGTTAAAATTTAAATTCTAAATAATTACATATGAGACAAACATTAATCATATTTGACCAAAAGATCGACACCAAAAAAGATCAGTAATGATTGAGGTGTGAGCGTTTAAGTAAAAGTTAACTAAGGCAAAATTGACAAAAAAAAATAAAGAACCAAAAATATCAATAATATTTTAAGTAAAATTAAACAAGGTGGTGGTAGGAGAGATAAATTATATGCATCACACGGGATGGATCGGACCGACACTAGTACATCTATAAGACGATCATTCTATCAATAATATTTACGGTATGTTAAGGAATTAAAAGATTAACATTTTCAAAAGCTACAAGCTACTGCTATGCTTTGCGACTATCGGCATCCAGCATGAACACAGCATTGCTTTTGCTTTGGCTTTAGAAAGCTGCACTACAGAAAAGTTTAAAACCATGATAATTGTTGTTCCACAAAAACGAATGTAACATATATTATCATGGCGTACAGTAAGTCTTGATAGTAAAATTATCTTTTATGTAAGTGAGACTAGTGTTCATTTCGTGCCATTCACGGCTATTTAAAAAAAAAAAAAGTATAGTGATGCATGCATATAGTCACAAATTCTCCACCGACATGCCCATCCAACCATTCTCTCTAAACCCTAATTCAGAGCCCACATAAACTCTCTCTCTCTCTCTCTCTCATACATACACACACATGACACACCCCACTTTCCATCTCCAGACACGGTGTGAATATTAAATAAGAAAAGGCCCAAGGTTTCATTAACCACTTCCCGGTGTTCCTCAAACCAGTAATGCTACTCTTAGCAAATAATGACATTAAAAAAAACGTTCAAACGATGTCATTTTAAAATTTGAATTCTAAATAAGTGAAATGGGGCTAATATATATATATTAGCACTGCATCATTTGATTTATATTTTTTGTTTTATTATTTGTGCAATCAAATATTGCTCTTCTCAACCATATCTGGCCAAAAAGACTGGCACCGTAAAAATAGAGATCGATGATGTGATGCAAACGTGTTAAAAATTAGACTTAATAATCTCAACCATTGAATAGGTAGTGAATCTCAATAAATGCTGGGATCCACGGTAAAATTAATGGTTGATATTATCAAGTCTAATTTTTAAATTTATTTTTTAAGTCCATATAGCATTGCTCAAATTTAAATTCCAAATGAATAATAATGAGGCCAAAAGTATTAATAAAGGACCATGTCATTTAGTTCTTGCTGTAGTCTATCATTTGGTCTCTAACAAATTTTACTATTTAGTTCTTCCTTAGCTTGTATAACAACAATAAGATTCGAATTCGATATGAAGTTAGAGGACATGACTTTACTATTTTTTGACATAAACCTAGAAATAATACAACTTGCTAACACGAATAATAAACGGATTGAACTAGTATTAAACACGAACAACTTAAAATTAATACGATTAATACAAAATAGTATTTTATGAATAAAATGCCAAACTTTTATTATTTTTTTTATCAATTATAAACCTGGATCCTTGTAATATAAGAGAATTTTGTTTACTTTTTTTTTATTATTATGTATATTTTGTGAACTTCTAATTTATGAAAAAACTATAAGTGTTGATTTGGTTTTAGATGTTTGATTCATGAGTTACATGGTCAACCAAAATACGATATGATAGTTAAAAAGTTGAGTTATATATATGTGACACAATTCATTAAAAAGTAATGTTATTCGAATTTAAAATTTTGATCTAATTTGTTGACTTAATACTGTGGTTTTATTAAAATTATTTGATTAACACCAAATTTTAATATTTGATAAAAATAATTAAATTGATTGAATTATAATTGATTAATGCTATAGACATGAATCTTAGATTCATGAGTTCATCACCCAAGCTACACCAAAACCACCTGATACTTCCCATAATACACTCCAAACTTTTGTTTCTCTTTTCAGGAATCCCGCACAACATCCTATTGATGAATCACTGCCAGGGAAAATTGATAAACCTATAGTTTTCTATGAAGGAGAGCTGGTTTTCTACTTCACCAAAGAAAAAATACAACAATCAAGTCAATCATTGCAATATGCATTAATTGGCAAGTGTTCTTGTGGTAGACCCTCTCTTGGTGTCATCAAATAAGTGATACGATCGAAATGGAGTTTGAAAGGTGCTTTTGAAGTAGGTTCAATTGACCAACGACATGTGTTACTAAGGTTTGAGTTCCAAGAAGATTATGTGAAGACGTGGCTCAAAGATGCAACTCTGATAGAAGACTACCTCTTTAGATTCTTTAAATGGTTTTCAGGCTTTGTTCCGGGTATAGAGCCTTCAATTGTTCCTCTATGGATATCATTGCCTAGGTTACCTTTGAATTTCTTTAAGAAACCTTACTTAGAGCTTTTGGTGAAGCCCATTGGAAGAGTCTTGGTATATGACCAAGCCACACTTTCATTGTCAAGGCCAGGAATAGCTAGGGTATGTGTAGAGGTCAATCTGCTGCATAATAACCCAAATCGGATTTGGATTGACATGGGAGAAGAAGGGGCTCGTTGACAAAGAATAATCTATGAGAGATGTAAGAAATTCTACAAAACCTGCAACAAGCAGGGCCATGTCAATGAAGAATGCAGAAAAAGGAAAGTTGCACCACACAAGGAAGTTGTGAAAGGTAAGAATCTAGGCTTGGAAAGAGATGGTAAAGGTAAGGCAAGTAACGAGCAAAATAAGGGGAAGGATATTCAGCATACTCAAAGTTTGGAAAATACTCAAAAGGTAATTCCAGGTCACGTTTCATTCAAAACTCAACCAAAGCTAGCATATGCAGCTCATCAATCAAGGGGAATTTGGAAACAACATCTAAAGCCTGGGCAATTCAATAATGCAAAAAAGGAAATAGCAACAAATTCGGGGAGATTAGCAAATATAGCCCACGAGATACGAGAAGTGGAGCAAGAAGCGTCAATTAGAATCCTTGAAAAAGGGGATCATTCGGGAATAGATGATCTATCTAATATTCTATCTAAGGTAATTGTGCAGGCCAAAGATTCAGAGAATCCACCATTGTCTAAATCAGATTTGATACTGGAAAAAGAGGATCATGAACAAAACCTTATGAACACCAACCAACACTCAGCATTTGGCTATGAATCTGCTGCATATAAGTTGGTTAATTTAAATGATGAGGAGGATGAGAATGTATTTTCTATTTCTTCTGAAGATGTCTTCGACGATGGGATAGACAAGTCCTCATCCTTGTTGGATTATGGTCACTATAAGCAAGATTTTGAATCTTTAACAGTGGAGGCCGAGGAGAAATCAAAGTCCATTACTCCGAAAATGATGGTAGCAGTCCGTAAAAATATTCATAGTCAAGGAGAGATAATTCCAAGCATGTCAGAGGAGGAGATTCAAAAGACCTTAAAGCTAAGAGGAGTTTATTCGAATGATGACTATATTAAGAGGTCCTCTCTTCATGAGCAATCAAGGGGTTTTTACTTTGATGGGGAGGAGGCACCAATAGTTCGAGAAAATGATTTTAATTCTTTTATGTTATCTTCTAAAAGGTCACTATCAATATGCAATAAGGTTGAGATGCAGAAGAAGAGAAAAGAGAAAGAATTGTCTGCTTTGGCTATGACACTTGATAAAGTCAAACCTATAATTATGACGAGATCAAGAACGTTCAAGTTGCCAAAGTCAAAGAAATCTTATGGATTTAGATATTATTAATTTTTTAAGGATTGGTTCAACTTAATGAGGACTCCTGCAGCCACTACGATTCCAACATTCTGTCTTTTAGCATTCGTATTATTCTGTCTTTCAGCTGGGTTATTCGAAGAAAGCAACAGATTAATGTTCAGTTGTCCAGTACCGTTCATGATACTGTTCATCTAACTTTCTGATGGACTGTCAGCTAGCTCATATCCTCTGGACTCTTCGTTGACTGTAAAATGCAGCGTGTGCAGTCATTGTTAAGACTTTATATTGTATTTAAAGTTCTTTTATTATGTAAGAGAAAAATTTTATGTCCTCCCCTCTCTTTATAATTTTGTTATTGATAAAATTTGTCCTAAATGGATTTAACTAAAATAAAATAAAATAACCATTAAACCATTGTCATGCCACATATGAATGCCGATGCTTTCATGTATCTATGATGATTAATTAATACAAATTTTGTTTCCCGAAACTTCCAAGAGGTTTCCCTTGCAAATGCATGCCAATACACTAGTCCATGAAACTTTCACATGTTAGGGATTTGATTGGTATCTAAATGTAGATGCTGCTGTGTAGAAGACTCGTCTATATATATTCTTCTGATCCCACCCCTAGTTTTTCCAATGAACTAAACCAAGCTAAACCAAACCATTCCTAGCTCTTCAAGTTGACATGGCTTCTAATGTTTATTCGGATCAAATCTTGAAAAACAATAGCTTTGATCTTCCTTGTCCATGTCCAGACTCCCACAACATCTGTAATAGCTCCATTGAGAATCAAGTCAACCCCACCAATCACCCTATCCCCATTTGGAATCAATTATCAGTTGACATTTCCAGCTTCGAAATTAGCCAAGAAAGCCTTGCAGAGACCAAAGATGTGGGCTCTCTTGATCAACAACCAGGTGGCGTCTCTGCACTGGAAGCAGATCCTGAAAATGGGATATCAGTTGATCATGAAACAGATCTTTCTCTTCAATACAAAGCGACTGATCATACTAAATCAGTTGATCATGGTACGAATCCAAACCTGGAAGAGCAGCCTTCTACGAAGACGAAAGGCTTCCTCACACTAGCCTTGGAAGCTTTTAAAAAACATACTTCAATTATCCTTCTTTTCTGCTGCGCCACACTTTCCATTGTGATCGACGTCAAAAGGAACGGTGCAGAAGGAGCAGTCTTTGATGCTGTAGTTACGTACCTGGCCATACTCACAGTTGTCTTCTTCGGCGCCATTGCAAGAGTTTTCAAGAGGAACAAAAGACTGATCAACAAGTTGTCAAGGATCAAGTTGATGAGACCAACAATTAAGCACTTCTTGTTGGAGTCATCAAGTGAGGAGTCGAAGTTGCAAAGCTCTATTAATACAACCTATTCTCGTTTGGAAAAGATTTGTTTGAGCCTGTCATTGCTGCTTCTTGTAGCGCAGGTCCTCAGATGCTTCCTATTGGAATCAGGGTGGTGTGACGAGAATCACAACCCTGATCCCAAAGGTGTGAAGAACACGGTGGAGGAGATGATGAGCGAAGCCACAAAAATTATCAAGAAGCAAGAACGTGTAAGGGTTAATAGATTGGTTTCTATGCTCTGCTTATTGGTCTTTGCAACAAGAGATGGCTTGCCTTTAGGAATTTCTATCTCCTTGGCATATGCATCTATGAAAATGATGTGGTCGTATCGAGCCATGGTCAGGAAACTTCCAGCATGTGCCACAATGGGTTTGATCACCACCATCTGCACCGGTAAAACGATTGATCTAGCTCTGCAGCATAAGAAGATGGCGGATTTGTGGATCGGTTTCAACAATATCAAGGAAGTTTCAACAGAAGTAGCAAGTGAAGTCCTTGATAAGTTGAGGGAGGGAGTGTCTATGAATATGATCATGACTCATACAAGCCCAGGAGAGGATGCTGCTCTTCTTTGCTGGGCTCAGCAAGTGCTTGGTATCAATACAGAGGAGTCGAATCGAAGTTGCACCATCCTCCATACGCACGCTTTTGATCTCAACAAGAATCAAAGGGGCTTATTGTTAAGGAGAAATGGTGAGGTTGGTGGTAAAGCTTTGCATGTACACTGGCAAGTAGACCCTGAGATGGCACTATCCATGTGTTCAGAATATTATGACGTGGATGGAACTATGCAAACCCTAGATGAAGACAAAATGGTAGTTTTTAAGAAAATCATTGAAACTATTTCCTCAGAGGGTCTCCAGTGCTTTGCTTTTGCATACAAACAAATTGTCGTACAAAAGAAAAAAGAATCCCTGAAACTTGAAGAGGAAGAAGCAGAAGAAGAAGAAGAAGAAGAAATCCTCAAACCCATAGAGTATGGCTTAACCTTATTGGCCCTAGTGATCTTGAAGAACCCTTATACACCGCAGGTGAGAGAAGCTATCAAAGGTTGTAGAGACGCAGGAGTTAAGATCAAGTTAGTGGTGGGTGATGATCTAAACACAGCCAGAATCATGGCCATCAATTCCGGAATTCTGAGTCCTGAAGAAGACATTGAAGGAGCAATAATCAAAGCCTCTGACTTTCGAAGCATCTCTGTGGAAGAACGCATGAGCATGATCAATAACCTCCGCGTGATGGCCAACACCACCTCTTATTCCGATCAATTATTAATGGTGCAGTGCTTGAGACGGAATGGTGAGGTGGTGGCAGTCACTGGAACGTGCACTAGAGACTCTCCGTCCCTAGGCGAAGCCGACGTTGGGCTTTTTCTCGGTCATATTGGTGCAGAAGAAACAGAGGAAGATGTGGACATAGCTGTCTTGGACATGGATTTCTTGACAATCTCTGACCTGTTAAAGTTGGGAAGAGGTGTCTGCAACAATCTTGAGAAGTTCTTACAGTTCCAGATGACTTTTAACATTGTTGCCTTCACTTTGAATCTCATTCTTGAAGTTTGCACAAGTGAAATGCCAATAACACCATTTCAGCTCCTGTGGGTAAACCTAATTATGGATGTTCTTGGTGCCTTGGCTTTGGCCACCACATCAATGGCGGCGGAGCCACTGCCTTCTATGATTCAACTAGAGAGACCGCCGTCACCAGTATATGGTGCTGGCCGTTCAATCTTAACCAAGAGAATGAAGATAAACATTGCTGTCCAATCTTTGTTCCAAGTCACTCTTCTATTGATTCTGCATTTCAAGGGAAAAGCTATTCTCCAGGTGGACGAGACCACATTAGAAGCTTTAATTTTCAACTCCTACATGCTTTGCCAAGTCTCTGTACTGATCAACACAAGAGAGATTGACAAAACTAATGGTTTTGAGGGGATGTTTAAGCATAAGAACTGTGGGTTTCTTGTCCTTCTAGGAGCCATCGTTGTCCTGCAGCTGGTAGAGATTGAGTTGGCTGCGGTTGTTGCTCATTCAGCTAGGTTAGATCTGAAACGATGGTGCATCTGTATTGGAATTGCAGCAGGAGCGATGCTTATAGACTGTTTGGTCCGTTTGCTGAACCTAATTAATCTAGCTACTTAATTTATTATTTTTATTAGATTAGTTATGGGTTCAAAAAATTGTATAGAGTAACTTTTAATTATGTAATAATTATAATTGATTAGGTTGGTAGATTTAATCTTGAAATTTAATTCGAATAGCATTTTCATGTGCAAAGCTTTATGAATTATCTTAATAAGATTATTTGGATTTACTTTTAATTGATGCAATGGATCAATTTGATTCATAGAGTGGTACTCAATAACTTAGTATATGCATACATATTTTTAAGCATTTTTAATCTAGTAAATAAATCGCCTCTTTCTTAACTCAACCATATAAAACTGCAAATCGACTTGTAATAGAAGTATGTTGTACTTGGTTAGGAAAGCATTCCAGCAGAGAAAGTTGAAGATGGTGATGATCCCCTAGCACACTAATAAAGGCAAAGGCAATAATTAGTCGATGCATGGGGACATTTGTGAGTGTATGCAGCGTGCGTGGCTCCACCCTTAGTCCAATGTATACAATACATGTTAAGATTTCAAAAGTAACCGTGCGGGGAAGAAAAACAAAAAGTAATAGTTTTTTAGATTTTAGACATAAATGGTAGGATAATATATATATATATAATAAGACCCGAAATCTTATTTCAGCAGAGTCAATTAATTGGCGGCTCCCATTCCCATTGGCCAGGTCGGTTAGATTTGGAAAATCAAATTAAAACAGAACAATAATGCCAAACTTAAAACAATGATTCCACATTTATATATATATATATATATATATATATATATATATATATATATATATAGGAGTATTTTTGAATTTTATCTCAGTCATATTTTTCTTTTTAAAATCATCATCAATCACTTACCTCACCATCATTCATTTGTCAGACTTAAACGTCAAATTACATCACTCATTTTTATCACATATTTAATCATTTATACATTTCCTCCCTAAAAATATCACACCTCTCATTTCTATCATACATTTAATCATTTAATATTTAATTATTTTATTTAATATATTTTAAAAAATTTAATATAGTGGAATCGATTTTTTAAACGTCTAAATTTTATATTTTATCGTACTTTCATATACGAATTATGACTAATATATATATATATATATATATATATATATAGCAGTTGTACGCCACACTCAGTTTTGTTTTGTGCTTCAGACAATATATTACCAAGATATAGAGACTGAATTGGCATGAAGTGCGAACAAGGATGTCATCGAATCTCATACATGTCGGAAAAAATAATAATAACTTAAAACAATGATTAGAAGCTGAGGTTTGTACTTCGTCGTTACATTCCGTCATCCGGTGGTAAAATTAATTTGTAAACTCAACGAATTATGGTCATTAAATTTACAATAGACCCTGGTATTAATTGACACTTGTTAAAAATTTGTTGATTATAATCCATTAGGTTAATAGATAAAAGTGTTAATTGCACTGGAGGTCTCCAAAGTATGAAATTTGTCTCATTTTAGTCTTTAATATTTTAATTGTATCATTTTGGTCCCTAAAGTATGAAATATGTTTTTATATGGTTTTGTAAACAGACAACATCTAGATTGCTAGCAATTTTTTATCATAAACTTGTCACGTAATACTTAAATATGGACAAAAAATAATTTTGATAACTCTTAAATAAAATTTGGGTAGCTCTTGATTAAAAAATGTGTAATATGAGTAATTTTTGACCAAAATTTGGATAGTTCATGATCAAAACTATGAAATTTAGATAACTATTGAACTAAAATTTGAGTAGAAATTTGATCAAGAGTTATCCAAATTATTTTTTGTCCATATTTAAGTATCACGTAATAAATTTATGATAAAAAATCGTTAAAATCTGAAAGCTATCTGCTTGAGATATCATATATAAACATATTAAATATTTCATAAACCAAAATGATGCAATTGAAATATTGGGAACCAAAATGAGACAAAATCTATGCTTTGGGGACCTACAACACAATTAACCCTAGATAAAATCAATAAATTTGGTATAAATAGTGTTTTCTTTTGCTAATTATGGTTTTAGTATATCATAATACTTTTAACATTTTTTGCGATTAATAATAACAAATGCAGCCAAAATTAAATTTGTGATTACAAATAAGTTTTTTTTTTTTTTGGTATGGTAGCCACATCCAATCGTCACCAATAGTGGGAATGGCAATGGATTGGGGTGAGACAAGGGGAGTAGTCTCCACCCCCGTATTGGCTTAAAAAAAGTTTGTTAACCCCTGGTCCACCCTCGTTAGTGGGGAAAGTTTTAATCCCCAATTCCGTCCTGCAGTTAAATTTTGATCCCCGTCCGTGCTTTCACCTCTGTTCCTGTCCATTACAATTAATTTTTGTGAATTTTAAAAAAAAAATTGAAAAAAAAACCATAACAATTAAAGTACAAGTTGTATTACTGTATGCCTTTATTATATGATATGATCAAAATAAAAAAACAAAGAAATGAGTTTATAATAAAATCCTTGTGTAAATTGAGCAAAAGTAACAACAACAATAAATATATATTTAAGTCTCTACAAAATAGGTTGGGTGGAGTGCGGCGGGTACGGGACGAGAATAAGTTTCGGTCTACAATTGTATCTACGGCCATAAAAATTTATATAGATATTTCTATATAGGTTCATCTTCCAATACATATTATCCATTTCTAATTAAAAAAAAACAAATTTAAACAAATCCCTATTTTTTTGAGGGTTTGATCAAGTCTCAACCTTACTGTATTCCTTGGTACCATTTCCTTACTGGAACTGACTCGCTTTTTGTTGCCAGTCAGGACACTATTACATATCTGTTCAAAAAAAAAGACACTATTATATCAACGTGATAACAACTTAAATATGAAATTAACGAATTATATTGTATTAATTTTCATTACAAATTTAAAAATGACACGACTTTTTAACTTAAATAATAAATCGGTGAGGCTAAAACCAAACACTAATAACTAAAAAATGACACAATTAACATGTTGAATTAATATTAATATCATATTTTAGTTATTTTTATCAAGTATCGATATGAATCCATGTTAAATTAGAGATCTTTTACTTGCTTTTATTATTATAGATTAGTGGATTTTTAGTTTCTTGAAAAATTGTGTGCGACTTTGGTTGAGACATAACATAATAGAGTCTATTTTCATATTTTTTTATTTATGACTTATATAGTTCACATCGAACACAACACAATAATACAATATAAACCAAATAATAATGTTAGTACAATATGCTAACACGAAAAGTAAATGGATCAAGTTCGAGATTGACACATTTAACTAATATTATATGAATATAATGTCAAATTTTATTATTTTTTATCCAGCATTAAAATAATTTTGTAAAATAATATAATTTTTTTTGTACTTGTTTTGTTATTTTAGGTATTTAGTGATTTTTTAGAGTTTAAAAGAACTATGAGTATTTGGAAAAGAAATAATAGAATCTTCTTGTTAAATTGTTTATTCACAGAGTATATGTGTCAAGCTGAACATGATGCAAAAACAGATCGAATTAGTATCAGAACATCAGATTAGTTAAATAGATTAAGGTAAAATCAATTAGTGCTTGACACAAACTTGAATTAAGACAAACTCGACAAAACACAATTGCCACCCCTAGTTTTAAAAATTAAACACGAACTTAACCCATATTATTGGATTTGAGTAAAATTCAAATTTCTATCCGAATAATATAACAGGAGATTGAACCAAGATTTTCACGTTGACATCCATCACTTGTTACCTTGTACAAATTAGCATAAAAATAAGGATAGTTTTTGTTGCTGGGTACGATTATACCAGTGATAATGCATCAGATTCTATCAGAACTCTCGAATTAAGCATGCTGGAGAGCATGTACAAGGATAGGCTACCTCAAGGAAGTCCTCATGTCACAACCCTTGAAAAACAAGATAATATTAGTAGCCATCAACAAGCATTCCCTTGCAGTAATGTTATCAATATGAAAAGCAGTAAAAGAAGCTTTAGCATTAGCATTTGTATCGATACCACTACATAACCACATTCTCAACAAATTCCTGGATATATATGCGATAAAATCATGACAGGAAAAAATAAAAAAAGAATGCACATTTAATGGCACAGGATCACTTTCAAATATATTGGCTCCAAAAACCATTCAAACTATGACACAAAAAAATTGCACCTCACCAGTTTTCCTACTAACCTAATTTACATGACCATAACTTTTAAAGAAAGAGAAAACAATACAATGCTTACCAAGCACCAGCAGGCTTTTTCAAAGCTTGACCTCCACATCAACCCCAGCAGGAAGGTCAAGTTGCATCAAGGAATCAATTGTTTGGGCAGTCGGGTAGAGAATGTCAATGAGGCGCTGATGAGTTCTAATTTCAAAATGGAACCTGGCATCTTTGTGTACATGTGGAGATTTAAGAACACAGTACACTCGTTTCTTGGTTGGTAATGGCACAGGACCCATTGTCTTGGCATTGGTTGTCCTTGCAGCATCCATTATCTGCTTGCATGAGTCCTCGATCAGGGGCACCCAATACGACCTCAATTTGATTCTAATTTTTTGCTTTGGCGCCATCTGAGAACAGAAAATATCATAAGACGATTAAGGTGCACCCAAAAACGCAGAAAATACACAAATACATGACTCCAAGAAGAAAAACGAATTCTGATTTCAAAAAAGACTTGGCACAGGAATATGGGACCCACATCTGCAAAATTGTCAACCTCCTGGCTGATTTCATACACTGTGATTCACATTGCTCACTAGGAAAGGTGGCCATGCAGCCTAAAGCAAAACCATTTTGAAATATGGGCAGTTGAACATCTTACAAAGTAACAACTAAAAGGACGATATCCATGTAAATGGAGTGTAAGTTTTCGTATATATGTTCAAAGAAAAAATGAAAAAAAAAAACCGCAGGCTTTTTCCCACTCCCTAGCCCCTACCATGTGAGAAGGTGATGGGTGATACGGCGAGTGGGTCCACAGATATCTCCATCATCCCATGTTTGAGCGCTTCATTATTAAATGTGAAAAGTTTTCCATGTCTCTACAGGCTCTAGAACCTTTACTGATTATGCAAGAAGTTCTTTCCAGAAACATCAAGTTATGGGACACTTGCAAATGGAAATTAGGTAAGAATTTCTCTCGTAAAATAAACGGGTTCATAAGCAATGGTAATGGTACAGTCCATTTGAAACTCCAACAAATCAATGTGTACCACTGACAGTTTCAAATACACTACTAAAGGCTTCAACAATTGCATAGATCAGACGATCCCTATCAACAGAGCAAGAGAGAAATGTTAAGCAGGATTTGAGCATAAATAACTTGTATATCAATGCTCAAGGTAAGAGCTTTTCCAGTACACAACATATACTTCATTTCTGAAAAGTTTAAGTTGGGTAAATTATGATGCAACCTAATCATAATGTGCAACATTTAAGGATTTCTAGGTGAGATTCATAGATGGATATATAGGTAAAAGGTTCAATAATCAATAATGTATAGCCCCGTGGGCAGAACGTGGGAAGAATATGGAGATCAGCTTTCTATTCATTTTTGTGCAAATAATGTTAAACATTGGATCTATACCTAATGCAGCTCTCCCAGCATCCTAAGCTAAAAGGTATCAAACTGGATAAGGTTAAGAAATTGAGCATGATCTTTGGACTTGCTGCAATAATCTGCAATATAATGAAATGCAGATGAACTAGAGCTGATTTCACTCACTGCCATCAAAAGTGCTTCCTCCACAGAACAACTAATATTCTTCAACTCCTTTTATCAATCAGAACAAATATGCAGAAAATATCTCCAAAACCATGTTGCAGTAAGTGAGGCTCCTATAGTAAAAGGAAAATTAAGTCAAACAACTATGAGTAGTGCTCTATTACCTCACCATGAAGCTTATGTCTGAACTAAATGACTAGAGAGTAAAAGGAATGCTCCTTAATTCCCTATGTCAATCAATATTGCAAAGAGAATGTGCTTCACTCACCAAAACAATAAAGTAAAACTTCCAATTCATATGCTGGGCAGATTCGGGCACCAAATTGTAAACATAATAAAAGATTATTAAAGATTTTAAATACATTTTACTCTTCTTTGGAATCACCTCTATGTTTAAAAATCAATAAAAAGCATTCAATTCATGACAACCAGACCAATAAATTATGCTCATAACTTGAAACAATAACAATCAAACTCAGGCACACCCCAAAAACATACACACACTATACAATGACAATCAAACACCCAAACATGAGCGCGCACCCACACACAGGTACAACAATGATTACTTGCTTCACAATGTCGGAAAACGTAGCCAAGAACATGTCATCAAGTACAACACATTGACATCAAAAGAATTTCAAGTTAACATTGTTGCTATATTTGCAAGGAAACTAAAGAAAATTACTAACAAAACATAGAAAATCTGATTTCCAGCAACCAAATGGAGCAATACGGGGAAAAGGTACCTTGTCAGAATCAGCACCAACACTAAGCGTGGAAGCACCAGGAGTTTCAACCTGAAACACACGTACACGCCAAATCAACATTAAACAGAAAAAGATTATTAATTCAATTCGTGTCCTCAAGTTGTACAGTAACAATTAGGCAGAATTCCAAACCTCAAGGTCAGCAGAGTCAGAAGCAACTAGGGTTTCAGGAGCAGCAAAAATCCTAGAAGTTGACGGGCGAAGGGGTTTTAGGGCTTCAAATTTTAGGCAATTTGAGGGCAAACAGAGAACGGAAAGTTCGGTTTTCGTCGAGACGGTGCTGGAGGAACGGCATAGTGGGAATAGTGTAGTTACAGAAAGTGCTGATGATATCGCCATTGATTATCTTCTCCAAAGCGCTCTCCCTCTCTCACTCACTCACTGTTTGGTGCGATGAGAACTGAGAATTGGAAGCTACTAGCCCGGCGCTTGAAATTCTCAATCCCAGGTTTATCCAAACGTTTTTCTTTTTCTTTTCTTTAAAAAAAAAGAAAGAAAGAATGAAATACCAAATATAAATCTCACTTTGAATCCCAAAATATACTTTGATTTTCAATATATACCTTGAAATATTAAAAATTTTATTTTCTACCCTCAAAATACAATGGTCACTTCGTTAATTCCCCAAATAATATTCAAATAAAATTGCTCACGAAAAGCATGTAAGAACAGGGAAATATTCGACAGTGGGCCTGAGGCCCAGATTGCTTTTCAAATCCTTGTCCAATTTAGTTGGGCTACACTTCGCAAATCCTTCGCTAATATGGTAGGCCTTTCATTTAATGGACTAATATTTGGGCTTGCACGTCCTCTTTCTATATATTTTCTTGAGGTTTAGGGAGACCGATATCTTCTAAAAAATTTAATAGGATAAAAATATAATTTTTAAAATAATTGGAATAGAAGTACATATGCTAAAAAAAAAAATCATAAAAGTCCTTTTACCCCTTTCATAAATAGTGCATACCTAATTGAATGTGAGACTTTCAAAATTCTTTTTGATATTTGTGTATCATTTGAATTTTGAAATTACACGCACGTAATACAGTGACATCAAATAGTAACATACTCAACAAAAAAATAGTAACATCAAACAGTGACACGTTCAACAAAAAAATAGTAACATCAAACAGTAACATACTCAACAAAAAAATAGTATCATCAAACAGTAACACAAATATTTTTGTTAAGTGTGCCACTATTTGATGTTAACTCTTTTTTTGTTGAGTGTGTCACTGTATTACGTGTGTGTGTGTAAATATAAAATTTTAAAATTCAAATGATATACAAATATTAAAAGAAATCTTGAAAGTCTCGCATTCTAATTTTGAAAGTCTCACATTCAAGTATGTATGCACTATTTATGGTAGGGGTAATTATAGAATATATTTTAGAAAGAATTTAAAAATGTTTTAAAATATGTACTTATTGACAACTATTTGATGAAAAATATGACTTAAAATGAGGATAAGTTTGGAGGTGATACTTAAAACCAAATAAGTTTTGAAAGAGGTACTCACATCCCATTATCTCTATTTTTTTTCTCTTAATAATGCTTTTTTTAAGCAATTTTTTTTTATCATAAAAGCAAAAAATTGTTTTACTTCTATATTATAAAAATGAACTATGTGAATTTTAGTCCATAAATGATATACCTCTATATGTATAGAGTAATGCTACATAGACTTAAAATACTTATTTGATCAATCATGGTCACTAATTTAATAATGAGTCTCAGTATTTATTGGGACCACTACCTAATTAATGGTTATAATTTATCAAGTTAACAAATCAAGTTAGTATTTTAAGTCTAAGTAGCATTTTGTCAGTATTTTAAATCTAAGTAACATTTTGTCTATATATATGAATATATAACTTACTATACATGTGATTAAATTTGAAAAAAAAAGAGTAAATTGATATGATGTCCTCGACTTGAAATTATTTAATTGTTTCTTTTTTCTCTACGCCTTTACACAATTACTTGTTCATTGGTCAGGTGTACTTAGTGTACAAGATTTCCGTTATTACGGAATCTGAAGAAAGTTATATGTACGCAACTTTACTCGTAGGAAGGCTGTTTTCATAACTCGAGCATGACCTTCAGATCAAAATAGAGCAATTTTACCGTTACGCCAAAGCCCGTCTTTGATTAATGTCTTGAGTTAAACAAGCAAGTTTTTAAATGAAGCAGCTGATCCTAACCTAAAGGAGAGTGGCCTTAAATTACTTTGATGAAGGAAACGAGGGAGTTACTGTCAGCTAAAGAAGCACAGCTTTTATGGAGTTTTTGTAACCACTCCTCAAGTAAAACTACCTTTCTTCTTCTTCTTCTTCTTCATCATCATCTATAACTCCACATATATTAATTAAACAGTCCCATTAAACGATCTCCCGTGGCATAAATCTAATGACAGAGCCCTTTTCTCCACACCCCTGCACTCTCACTTTATTAAAACTCTGCCCATCTTTCAGTTCTATTCTTCCTTATTCTTTAATAGCACTTAAAACTTACTTCAATACACCGTGCTAAGTTTAATAAGAACTGCAAGGGACACTAAGTAACGCTCCTATAGTCCTATATTTATAAGCCTCACCTCTTTGCCATTGACATGCCATCCCTTCAACTGCAATTCTTGTAACTTGTCAGCTTCATGGACATTCCCGCAAGGCAAAAACCTAATTATTGAGAGGAAGCCATGAATTTCAATGTTTTTAGTCTATGTGCTGTGGTGTTTTTGGTTATTTTAGATGGCACTCATGGTGGTTTTGAGGGGAAGGGATACGTTATTACGTGGGATGATATGCAGGTGGATGAGCCGTGGGAGAGATTTGATTTAAGAGACAAACATAATCGAAGTAGGATCATTGTGGTCGACAAGAACGGTAAGGGCGATTCGCGTACAGTTCAAGGTGCAGTAGATATGGTTCCCCAAGACAATGTAGAGAGAGTGAAGATATACATTCTTCCTGGAATTTACAGGTTTGATCAATCAAAACACACCAATATACTTGCCATGGAGATTTGCCAAGTTACTTCTTAATGTACTTGTGTCCACCTCAGAAGCCCAGAAGTTTATTTTTCATTGGTGCAGTTGTGCATTTTCTGGTTGGCGGGGACTCAAAATAGGGACGTGGGTATTAAAAGGAAGTTACATGGGCTAGTAGTGGGATTCCTCCCTCCCCCCCCCCCCCCCCCCCTCTCTCTCTCTCATGTTTTCCTGTTTTTCTCTGAAATTTTGGTCCCTACTCAAATTCCTCCCAATGCTTTGCACTCTCTCTCTCTTCTCTCTGCAATGTCCATTTCTTTATAGTTCTTGTTGCTGTGTGACCTAATAATCCAGATATATGCTACTATATATATAACAGGCACTACCATTATTTCATTGATCTATATATTTGGGTTTATTGCATGCTTAAGTCTCTCAATTTTGGACAATTTGTTAAATTTTTATGCAGAGAAAAGGTGGAAATTCCAGCCTCAAAGCCATACATTTCATTCATTGGAAATGTGAATCACACAAACGAAACTGTTATTACCTGGAACAACAAAGCCTCTGATAAAGACAAGGATGGGAAGGAAATAGGAACCTTTAGAACAGCCACAGTCTCAGTAGCATCCAATTACTTCTGTGCGAGTGGGATCACATTCGAGGTACTATACCTGAAATCCATCAACATAAGAACATAATGTGTTCTAGGAATTTAGTATGTTGACATAATTCCGTTAGTCACATTAGTCAAGTCTTGGAAGATTATGTTAATTCATTGGTGGTTCCATTGCAGAATTCGATAAAGGCAGCCCCTGGAAGCTACGGCATGCAAGCTGTGGCATTGAGAATAGGTGGTGATAGAGCCATGCTCTATAACGTTAGGATTCTTGGAACACAGGACACACTTTTAGATGACACTGGATCGCACTTCTTCTACCAGTGTTACATTCAAGGAGCTGTTGATTTCATTTTCGGCCATGCAAAGTCATTGTATCTGGTATAATCCTGCTCACTTTCTATCATTTTTTTATTTATTACTAAATGGACCCTTAATGTTTTTTCCCCACCTGTAATTGGAACCTTGAACAGGAATGTGAGATTCATTCAGTAGCTGAAAAATATGGGGCCATAGCAGCTCACCACAGGGATGCACCAGATGATGATACAGGGTTCTCCTTTGTGGAGTGCAAAATCGCGGGAACAGGTTCCATATACTTGGGAAGGGCTTGGGGAAAATATTCGCGAATAATATTTTCATACTGTGACATTGACAACATCATTACTCCCTCGGGATGGAGTGACTGGAATGACCCATCTAGCCAGAAGTATGAAATTTTCTTCTCTGATTCATTTCCCCTTTAAAATGTTTAACAGATAGATAACAATTGAAAATCTTAGCAAAATATTTTTTTTGTTGTGTATTCATAGGACTGCAGTGTTTGGTGAATATCGGTGCACGGGCAATGGAGCCGATAGGAAGAATCGAGTGCCATGGTCCAAGTCTTTGAACGACAATGAAGCAAGGCCTTTTCTGGATTTGAGCTACATAGGTGGACAGCAATGGCTGAGCCTGTAGTCTTGTGTTCAAGTGTTCCACTTCACATCTGCATCCAAAGGCATGGTGGATACAGGCTCTTTCTGTTCTAGCTTTGAAGGCACTATAATAGAATACTGCAGTTTTGAGCATTTGTTTCAGTTGCACTTTTCGAAGTGAGAAGTAATGGATAGCCATTGCAAAAAATAATTCGAGAATTCATAGTTCACCTACTAGCTATACAACAAATATCAAAATTTTATTTCGGTGAGCTTGAAAATAAAAACGTTTCTATAATATTTTAGAAATATGTCAAAAACAAGATGAAAAAAAATTTAAAAAAATGGACAAACTTCACTTCACGTCCTTGTGGTATACTTCAAATGCACATTGCCTCCCTATGATTTAAAAATGTTCACATAACCCTCATGTGATTTGTAGACCTAAAGTTTGTTTTCGAAACATTAGTTAAAACAACCGAAACATTTTGAAATACCTTGAAAAACACTGAAACACCTCAAACATAAGAATTTTGATATTCAATCAATAATTCATTTCGGTTTTTATGAAAACGAAAACGTTTCAGAAGTTTCAAAACAAAATTTAATTCCTTGATACACACACACACACACAAAAAGAATTCTAACTTTGTTAACCCTCAAGTACATCCAAACTAAATATGACCATGTCAGTCTGTAAATGGGCATGCCGTCCCTACACTTGTTCAGGGCGTATTAGACAGCCACGCTAGGAGACAACACTGGATAGTACAAAGTCTAGCAAATTGAATTTTCAAACAATGACTTGAAAACTACACCATAGTACTTAACAATCAACAAAGATAGCAAGTCATAATCATATAAAAGTAACAACAGAGGGTTCATGATAATTATAGTATTACAGAAAGCTCCAATATCATGTGTAGACATTCAAATACAGGAAAACACTAAAAACTTACGGGCTGCAAAAGATCCAAACTGCAAGAGTGCTTCTAAATGTGCGGTTCTCCCTTACATGCTCCAGAAAAAATCAGTAAACGACAGAACCCGCCACAACTTCATTGATGTACACCTAAGGTTATATACAGAATGTCCTACAATCAAACCAGCTAAATCACCATCGCCATTGTTAGAGAATGCGACACTACCAACTTCTTATGCCCCCACTTCCATGAGTTCTGCTTCACATATCGGCCCAGCAGTTTCAGGCACCTCTAAGTTGTCCCCATTGTCAACTTCATCATTATCATCACCATCATCTTTGTTAATTCCATTATTATCTAAATCATCCACATCATCATCACCAAGGTGATGATCAGTATTGCCCTTCTCATTTATGTCATCAGGATGATGACCATCATCTTCCTTGTCCATGTCCTTAATCAATTGTTGCTGCTCATAATTGTCCTGGTCCATGTACTTCAAAAGGCCATCAGATGATGTCAAGCCATCTAATTTAGGTGTGTCCTCTTCAGCACCACCGAGTTTGATATTGGTGGGAACCTCATTAGATGACATAGGAAAACTATCAGATTTGGCCTCCTTAATAGTCGAAGTTACAGAAAGCTTAGTATCTGGGCTGACATCTTCAGATATGGTTGACAGAACATTCGGATTCGGCTCAATATCCACCCACTGATCTCCCACCCAATCTCTTGAAATTCTAAGGTTTTTTCTGTCTACATTCAAAAATAAATTTTCACCTGATAACATCCAAAAATAATTGCATTAGAGAAGATGGGAATGAGATAGTTAAAGAAGTGCAGTAAAAAAAGAAAACAAAAAGACCACGACGGTAGAATTACAAAATATAGGAATAGAAAAACATTCCAAACAAAACATACTTGGAATATACACTTGATGAATTTCATCACTGGAGTGACCAAAGCCAGTCAATACCCCTTCCCACCAGCCATCACTCCACCATGCATCCACTGCAGCTCCAACATCAAAAGCAAGGTCGAGTTGATCATGAGCAGAGGCAGGCCTGATTGTTGGGCGACCTGAGTATCTCATTCCAAGTTTATCAGGCATGGCCAGTCTGAAAGCTGGAATCCATTCCTATAAATTGAAAATGTTAAAAAAACTTATTTATTTCTTTTGCTTTTATTAGGATGACAATTTGGATGCCAGAATCTAGACAGTTTGTCCCCAAAGGACTAATCTGGACTTGTAGTATGCATTTCTCACAAAAAATTGTACAACAAACATGGAAACCAAATTTGGCATGTAGACACCACATGCAAATCATGACCTTGTAAATCACACCAGATACGGTACTTGACCATGTAATCCAGAGTGATACTTCTTATAATGTCAACCTGGGACCGGGGACCGCCAGGATAAAAAACAACCCATATCCTCTCCACTTAAATCATCCACAAATTTAATCCACTTTGCGAGTGATTAAGTAGAAGCTAAGATCAAAATTCAATGGACCATTAATTACCCATGTAGGGAAAAGATTTAGAATGGTCAAACAATATCTGGTTAGCCACCCTCACTAGTCATGGATAACATTTCTCTTGAAACAGGGTCTGACATTTATTGCTTTTCACAAGAGCCCCTAACACAACTGTTAGATAGAGTTCCACTGCACCAAAATCAGACACTACATATGGTCTACAAACTACATACAAACAGATCTTGAAGGAAATGATGTGTCTGATGGTTGGTTAGAGGCATAAAAAACATCACCGGCTTGTAAGAGGTGCACATAACTAACTAGACCTTAATCTACCAAATTGGCAATCAATATTGACATTTTACATTACATTAAAGAAATCTCAACAGATATATTTAAGTTTTCAGTGAATTAAAAGAACAAAAACTACAATGATTATAGGTTGAACCGCATATGATTATAGGTTGAACCGCATACAACTCTACATCAATTTTGTCTCAAAATTCAAACATCCTAGAATTCAAGTTCTTTAAACTTTCTCTTTGGTAGATGGCATTAGAGATCAAGACTCTAGAACGAAATCATTAATTGCTTTGAGCATAGTTGTCAAATCGCGTATCAAAAGGTTATCTTTTTTTAAAATAGTGTATCGTAAGATACATCGCAATTTTAAATAATTAATAAAAAAATATATATACTTTTGAAAAAAAAATCATAGACTCATAAAAACATAACATTTCATTAATATTCCACCTACTATTCAAGTCACCAATATAGTTTACTAATATTAAAATACAAAGTTTCCGTCATAGTTCACTAATATTAAAATGCAACGGAATTGATAAATAAAAAAGGGCAAAAAAAAAATGCAAAGGACATACTGACACCGGTGAGATTATGAAATATAAAAAAAATAGAAAAATACAATAAACTGACCTAATTGTGAAATAAAAAAGGATAAAAAAATTAAAAACACAATGGTTCATCCAACTATATAGTATTTTAAGACATAGTCGGTTTGACCCAAGAGGAGACCATATACCCAATATTTACTCAGATTCTTAGACGAGAGTGCTTGATCAAATAAAAAGAAAAAGATGAGAGAGAGAGATTGCGAAAGCGATCGTTAGACAAAGAGAGAGAGATCGCGAGAGCGATCGTGAGACAAAGAGAGAAAGATCGCAAGAGCAATGGTGAGACAACGAGAGAAAGATCGTGAGACAAAGAGAGAAAGATCGCGAGACAAGGAGAAAGAGATTGTGAGACTAACAGAGTGCCTCTCTACTAGGACTGTCAAAATTCGACACGACACGATTAACCGACACGAATTAAACGAATTTTGGTGAAATCTTAATGGGTTGACACGCCAAACACGTTTAATAAACGGGTCGTGTTCGGGTGAGACCTGTTAAACCGTTTATCACACGTTTACCCGTTTAAATAAAATTAATATAATAATAAATTAATAATTATTTTAAAAAATTAGCAAGAAAAAAGAAGTAAAGAAATCAATAAAAAAAATAAAAAAAAGTAAAGTAGTAGTTTAAAGACAAAGGAGAAGAGTTAGAGAGCACTTCAAAGGCAAAGGCAAACAAATGTCTTTTGTTTTTATCTCACATTGAAAAATGAGGAGAAATGGGCAGGGTTGAGTTGCCTATAAAAGACAATGACCTCTTGCTTTTATTTTTAAAACCTTCAAGTCTTATTTTTCAAAGACAAAGGAGAGGAGTCGTAGAGCACTTGAAAGACAAAGACAAATCAATGTCTTTTGTTTTTGTCCCACATTGAAAAATGAGGGGAGATTGGGAGGGTGAGTTGCCTATAAAAGGCAATAGCCTCTTGCTTTTTTTTTTAAAGCCTTTAAGTTTTATTTTTATGAGATTTGATTTAAAATTCCTCTTTTTTGAAGTAAGTACAATTAGTAGTAAAAAAAATGGAGTATTAAAATTTGTTGATATAATTTTTTTAAAATTAAACAAGTTGTGTCGTGTTACCCGTTTATTAAACAAGTCGTGTTCGTGTTGAAATTTTTTACCCGTTTATTAAACGTATCGTGTATGGGTTTATACGTTTTTCACCCGTCACCCATTTAATCCGACACGATTGACACCCCTACTCTCTGCTTCAATGGTCTTGGACGATCTACTTCAATGGGTTTCCAATTTTTTAGGATTTCTTGCAATGGACCTCTGCGAGAAAGAAGAAGTGTTTTCTAAAATCTGATGAAAAACCAACATGAAGTTTCATCCAAAATTTACAGGCTAATGTTCCTATTTTTTCCAATTTCAAAATTTTGTTTGATTTGCTTTTACTTGAGTGTTTTTGCTGATTTGTGAGTTTGGTGGACTGATAATTCTTGTCCTCATCTCTATTGCCTTTTTTTTGACATTTTCTCTATTCTCCAAGGCTGTCAACGATTTGGTGCGAATCAATTTAACTCCAATGCAAATCAGCCATCTCAAACGATACTATGCCCAGACCCAAAAAAAAAAAAAAAAAACAACAATACTATGCAAATCAACCGTGCATTCTATTCAAAAAAAAAAAAATTAAACAAAGACTTCGCATATTATTCGTATCGACTGATACGTATAGTATCGTAAAAACGTATCGTGTATTAGATGATACTATGCAAAAATGATACAAAACTCTGATTCGTATCGTTTTACCTATGTATCGTGACGTATCGTGCGATACTAATAACTATGACTTTGAGTGACTAATTTTAGTAATATATTGTACTTTAACTCCTATTTTAAATTGAACTCATGCCAAAAGATATTTCAAAAGGAACTTTCAACATACCTCAAGATTACCACATCCATCTTCATCCTTCACATCATTATACTGGACTTTTATCTGTCTCCGCAAAACCTGCAAGACTGTACACCTGAACCAGCAGCCTCGGATGCCACTATCTTGGCACAGCAGTTCTACCTTGTCATTAACCTTGAAAAGTGACGAATTCCAATGCCGGTGTTCAACAGGCTTGTGGGAGATCAACCTTGAATTCAGGAAATTAAACTTTAAATTCTGGTGGGATGGTTCATACGGCATCATCTGACGCTTCCTTTTAGCACCCAGCCTTGCATCCTCTCCAGGGCTAAACTCTTCATCTTCAAAGAAATCAGGGCCAAAACACGAGAAAATTGGTTGATCAAGATAGCCACCCAACTTACTCAACTTGAAAGGCTTCACTCGGTTGCTTTTAAATTGTCTAAAGCAAAAATGAATTCTGGTTAACAAATCATGTGGGAAAACAGCCACACATTTCTCATAATGTTCACGAGTCAGAACTATAGCAGGACCATCAACACACTCTGCACTGATGACCTGTGCATAGGGTGTAATGAAAACTTCTTTGGGGTGAGTATTCCGAAGTGTAATAACTCCCTTGACTTCTCGATTATGGTGAAACCACCTCACTTTGACCTTTTTTTGGCCCTTCCTATCTTCATACATGTCTTCCAGATACGCAAGGTAGCGGTTCTCTTTTTCAGCCATGACAAAGACAAATGATTGTATCTAGACATCAGGGGAAAAAAGGATAATCTTAGATTCACAAAATATCTGTAAAAAATTAGGTACACAACATTTAGATGACAATCAAAAAAGGGCAGTGAGATCTACTACTAAAGGCACATATAAAGGTAATCCTACAAGTCTTAGCACAGTTCATTGATTTGAATCTCGACGTTCATGCCTAATAGTACAGAGCTTAGAGTCTTAGACAAGAGTGCAGTCTCTGAGGATCGTCTTAATTATGAGTTATGACACATGTCATGTCCCTATTGCTCAAGCTTGATACCCATGCCTTACACCTTAAGCATTTATCTTTGGAATACTGTTTGACGCTTACCACTATTGTAATCCCATTCCTGCAAAATGCTGGGTAGTGCTTGAGTTGTTTGCCGCAAGACCATGCTACACCTGACCAGACAATGTCCGAAGTGTGTCCTTTCAAATTCCTTGCGAGATGACCCTGATATACAGGTGTCAGAAGAACATTTAAAGAAACAATCAAATCAAATGCAGACAAAACAAATGAGATAAACCTTATAATCTCGCATGTAGGTTTGTTGAGCACCGACTCCAGACACAGGATCATCTTTTGCCGATTCTATCATTGAAAAAGGTCAAAAAAGTGTTAATTGACTAGAGTAATCATATCGTCATCAAGAAATGGCTAATATCGATGTAACAAATACTCATCCATGGGCCACAAAATAATGTTATTGAAAAGATTCCAAAAAGGGAATAAAAACAATTATGTCTAATTCAATGTTACTTGAATTATGGGTCGATTTGGTACGTGGTAGGTACGGGTACGCGATACAGTATATCTTCCAACACGTGGTAGGGGTAGGGTTAATTGGTACACTATTTTGGGTCGTGGTTTGTTTTCTATAGGATCGCTTCCTCTATTAGATGAGATTATATATAATTATACATTCATATACACATAATTATTAGTATTTATTTTGATATTTGAGTCACAATTTGGGTCGGGAATTTAAGTGATCTAGATCGCGAACCCACCCCATTTCGGGTTGTATAACCCTAGTTCATGGGATGGTAGAGGTATCTACAATTCCGTTATCTATGGGACTTGAAGGGAAAAGTAAAAAGAAAACACATAAAGCAGATGACAAAAACTGCAGCTTAGCAAAAATTCAATGAGGAATTACCAAATTGTATTCATTCAGATTCTAATGTGGCAATAACCGTGAAATCGAAACAAATAACACCATAGCAGAACTTCACATTTACATGTGCTTTTGAAGCACCAACTCAGATTAAGGAAAGCATGGGTGCTAATATGCACAACCTTGTGTGCATGACATATGGAGTCATTCCACAGTACTTTGTCGTAAGGTTAATAACTATCATTGATTTGAAAAACTTTTTGAATTTTAGCTATCTCTTAGCAACTAAGCACACTCTAAATCTTTAATGTGCAGCAAATGCTACAAATGAAAAAATCAATTTTAGCTAATCTACCATAATAACACTCAAGCATAGTACCAAACAAGAATTCTGCTAAATTTGGAAGTTGCGTTAAAACATAAGACCATATCATAATTATCACCAAATAGTGCCAGCAAAAGAGAAGTGGTCAAACCGAACCCAAACATCCCAAGATTTGAATTTCAACAAGCAGCTAGGGGAATGCCCCTAGAGGTGCCTTTCTTATGGCAGTCACAGCAAGGTAGCAGTCGTCATATCCAGCCTGTTAGAGGGTTCACAACTAACAGAAGTGTGGTTCACATTTAATCATCAAACACAATGCCGGTTAATGAGTTTCTCTCTACAGTCATGGATACCTGCTTAAGATTTACATTGCTTTTTATGAAACATATTATGATCTTGAACAAGTCACATGGAATTTTACATTCTAGAATTGGCAAGACAATAGTACAATGAGAAAATTTAGCAAAATATACCAGCAAAACCACCTTGCCCGTGCTGCTTTGATAGCATAGATGTGAGCCAGTTGACAACCTCTCTCCGTGACCTCCATCTGAAGCCAGCATGGACCGAATTCTCACCCCCATGAACATTCAAGAACTCATCAGAAACAACATAGAACATGTGCCTAACACTTCTCTCAGTGCCCACAACGGCAAGAATGGATTCCCCCGACATATCCTTTAAGAAATAGTGAACCACACGGTTGCCACGCTCCTTTGAAACATATTGCTCGTTCCACTCCATAAAACAGTGACCACTTGCGGCCATGTTTTGATCAAAATTATTTAACAAAAACGCCAGCACCAAAAGAGAAACCCTAATTCAGAGAGCTGAAGATGCACCGAAAAATTTGGCAAAAGGTTTTAATCCACTTAATTTAAGCCTAAAAAACTGCAATCTTGCACAAATTCAAAAAAAAAAAGCCACAATCTTTCAGAAATTCAGTAACTTAACTTGACTTGCCCGAAGGAGACCTGCCCAAAACTTAATAGAAAACCCTACCTGTAAAAACTGGGTCTAACCCACAAGAACGGTGTGGTTTTGGAGATCTGCAAGATCAAAGACCCTAGTCAAACGAGATAAGTCAAGAGTTCAAAAGCCCAATACGATTTTGATAGAAAATCATCAAGAATTTAAAACGGGCATCTATGTTCAGAGCGATAGATAGAAGTCTAAGCATAAAAGGAGACTGGGAACGTATGTGGTTTGAAGGGACCTGAAGATGGAGGTGTTGGTGTTAGTGTTAGTGTTGGAGGCTCAAGGACAAGGCAAGCATGGGGGGTTTTGTTGGTTCTTTAGTAGGTTAGAGAGAGATAGAGAGAGTAGGTGAGATCATAACAGGATAAGAGAAGATAGGTACGCGAGGGAGGCAGTAAACATGGGAAAAGTGAGAGTTGCAGAGCCTTGGAACCTCACATCCCATGAGGCTGAGGCTGAGGCTGAGGCTGATGAGAGAGAAGAGAAGGAGACGGCTAGCCGGTAGGCCTATAAGGGAGTAATACTATCATAGTCATCTTCTTGCTGGGGAAAAATTGGAATGTGAATATTTAGACTTTTACCGCAAATATCGGGACCCAGCAGTGACCCCACAGGCCCACAACACTGGTATACGACGATCTCGTTCTCATTTGGCATCTCTCGTTTTTTCATTTTCTTTTTTTGGTATAAAGATGGATATACACATAAACCTTTATTACATATTTGTAAAGATGTATTATTTTTTTAGTGTTACAAAATTATTTGTAGGAATCCCATCACACTTATATCGGACTAAAACGAAGATTCTATTACGTGTTCTAGAAACTAAAGAGTTAGTATAATTCTACGAATTATCATAACTATGAAGACTCAAATATTAAACAAATAAATCTAAGTTTTTATCTATTAGATCAACCACTTGAAGGTGATGTCTCTCATTCTATTCTTATCTTTACTTATTCTTTTTTTTTCCTCAAAGTGAATTTGAATCAAGATTTGAAATTTTTATCTTTTTGAAGATTCTGTTGAAGATTTAATTTTTTCTATTAGACATATTATCTTCTTTTTTTTTGCTAATATATTTACTAATCTTCCACTAATTTAACTCGTATAAATATTTATTTGATCAAAATTATCTCCATGCCCATGACTTGTAATGTTTTTGTAATATTTTTCCATTACCAAGTATGGATGATGGATGATGGGACTTAATTGGAACGGGTCTTCTTTTTTTTCTTGTTTTTATTTATTTATTAGGGTGTATAAGTTTGTATTAACTATTTTTGTAAATTCAACAACAATTACCGAGAATGGTTTGAATTGGAATAAAACATGTTTATGTTATGAGGAACAAAAGTGACTAACTTTTAGAAAGTATGAGAAAATATTGAATGTAAGACCTCTGAATTACTAAATGTCAAACCCAACGAATCATACAACCTCCGAGAGTTAATTGGAATGGGTGTTAAATCCTAGTTTGGATGGCAAATGGAGATTAGGTGCAAACTCTAGGGGTATAAAATGTAATTTCTCACTTTTGTAACGCTCATTTCAAAGGGCTTGCCTTGAGGCCAAAGACTAGCCCGATGATTTAAGCTAATTAAACATAGCAACCCTACATTAATTTCCTTGCTTAACGACTTGAAAAGAATATGATTGGTCAGTCGAAATAGGACGCTCCTCCTCCTCTCTCTCTCTCTCTCTCTCTCTCTCTCTCTCTCTCTATATGTATATAGACATAGATATTTGCCGAAGTTACAGGAAAATATTTGCGAGAACAGGTGAAGGGAGGGAGAGAAAGAGTGATATATGTAGTTTCGTAGAAGTATACCACTGATTGGTTTTTGAATCTGGATTTGATTTGGGAATAAGAGAGGAGGATATACTTTGGGAATGGCTGGAATAGCAATTTTAGTGGATCTACTGAGAAAAAATCCGTGCTTGAATGGACAAACCCTTCACTCCTCTGGCCTATTATCAGCTACACTCGCTGCTTCCACTGCCGCTGCTTCTGTCGCTGCCGCCACCCCTTTTGCTTCCAGGACGGTGTTCGGGTACACCCACCTCTCTCTCTCTCTCTCTCTCTCTCCACACACACAGATACACAGTAGTATAGTGGTATATGGATTAGGTTTTATCAAAATCTTGGCAAGTTTGTCTAATCGCCATTCTGCATCATTGAATATTCTCCCACAAAAACATGATGTTGTTGTCTTCTTGATTGGAATTTGGACTGTTATAACTTCAGGGGAATGATTCTTGATATGGGTTTTTTAATATCTTGAATAATCTACTAAGGATTTCATTTTAGGAGATACTCTTCATTGATAACGAATTCTACTTTGGTTATATGTGTGTGAATATGAGGAAAGTCTTAACCACTGCCACATAACGTTTATGATACAGTAACTTTGTGACACCAGTGGCTCACTGTGATGCTGGGGCAGAACTAAATGAAGATTACATCTCTAGCGTACGACATGTGTCTGGAAATATCTTTCAGTATGATGCCCTGAAATACAGTACGAAAGAGTACAAAATCGAGCTAAAACCTTTCTTCTCAGCTTTTCATTGGAAGTCCCTTACATTGACATCATTGAGGTCTTTCCTGTTGTTTTATTTGCCTCTGTTGGAGCCTCATTCAAACTTGGAAGAGGATGATGATGACTTCTTACAAGATACTCCGGAAGAGCACCCTGTGGATTTGGTTGTTCCTTTCAAAAAATCAGTGAAGCAAATTGTCAGGGAGGTAATTATGACTCTCTAAATTTGCCTTTTTGGAGTACTATAGTAAATCAGCAAATTTACATTTACATGGATTCATGACTATGAGTCTCCATTGTCATCAAAGATCAATTTTGTAGTGTAGCAGGTTATTCCATAGTCAAGCAATGAGTGAAAAATTTAGACTTTTGATAAGTTTACAGCTAAAAGAGCTTCTCACTTTAAAGTCCAGATTAAAATTGTTAATTTAGCTGAATCTTAAACCATTGTTAGTTCTCCCATCTCATAAAATGAAGTCAGAATTGAACATAATTGGTGAATGGGTAATGATCTCGATGTCCATATTCTTTATTAAATTACATCTTGAAGACCAATTTAATTACCAAACATTGCCGAATAATAAGTGTATGCATATGTATTTTACCTACTTGGGATTATGATTGTGTTTAGATTGAAAACATATATGGGGACCTTATGATTTGATCAACAATAATTAGTTTGATCCACTTAATTAAATATTAAATGTAAATTCCTATTTTCGTTTTTCAGTGTTCTTGAGTTTGTGTTTTTTAATGTTCAATCCCATGGATGAATTCTTCTTATCTCGACCATAGATCTCTGAATAAAGCTGAACCTGTTTTCTTCTTCGATATCTGTATAGATGCCATTGGTAGATCCATTTGTTCTGTCTCAGTCAAGTCATTTTATGAAAGTGAGAAAGATGTGAAAATAAGCTTTAGAGTTTCTTGTCTTCCAATTCCATTGATATTTCAAGTGGAAATTCTCTTTTTCTTCCTCTTTTCCTATCCAATAGCCACGGACTTCAAGTGGCCTGTTATGTCCATCGAAAGGAATGATAAAAATTAGCCCTCTCATGCCCCATGCCATTAGTGAAGCCTTCCGTCATCTGGTGGTAAGATAACTGAAGGAGGAGTATCTCTTCCTTCCCGAGCTTTCAGTGGATGTAGGGACATCTCACTTCTAAAAGCAGATGGGAAAAAATATCGGCGGCAGCTCCCGCTCCTGGCACCCCTCTTGCTGCTCGGCATGAAGTTGAATGTCAGATGTTGGCATACGATGTACATCATGGGGACTGAACTTTTTAATGTGCTAAGTAACTCATATATATTAAAAGTGAAATGACAGGTTTGATATTGTATTCTTGTGGTCTCTTCAATTCTTCTTGCAACACTAGCACTCTATTATTCCCTACCTTGATCATGTTGCTACATATATACTGGATAACTTTTCCGATTCATAATTATTTTGATTAAAACAGAGCTGTCATAAAGTTTTTGAATCTGCAATGTATTAAACCATTCATTACTTGGATCCATGTTTAGCAAATTCTGTGCCAAGGGTATATCCATTTTGCGGTGTCCTTTCCTACAGATATCTCTGCATTATCCATCTTTCATGTATGGGGGAGTTATTGAGACTTTCCTTCTTTTCACTGTTTTCTAATTGTTGCTGGCTTCTTGTCTTGATATTTGGGATGTGTTTTGAGATTGTTTAGTTGATCTGTTGATCTTTTGAGGGACCCAGTTAACTGAATTATGTTTCACTACATCTCAGACAACTGTTGTAACTACTAGAAGGGTTCTGGAGAGACTTGCCGTGCATTATATTTCACACCGTATGGCCTGGAAACTTCTCAAGGGTACTCTCTCTCCATAACCATGTATGCTGTGCCTACAAATTAACGTTTCCAAGCAGCTGACTAGTAGTCTTTTAGTGCAGATGTCCCCAAATCAGCCACGCGAAAGGCGGAAAGGGGAATGCCAAGTGTAGTTTATTTCTTCAGTGTGACAAAAACAACTTTCAGAGGTCAAAAATGTTGAAATTTGGTTTGATTTACCCATAGTGGTTGAGTACTTGAGCCGTAAACTCACTGTTTAGTGCCCATTTTGTGATATCTGAGCAGGACATTTTCTGGGAGTTTTGGCATCTTGGCTCGTCCAAGTTGGCATTGATGTTTATCGGTTCTTTTCTTGTTTGCTTCACTCTAAAGAAGAGAATGAAGAGGTTGATAAAGCGGAACAAATTCAGCTTCTTGTGAAGAAAATATATGGTACAACTGTCAGGTGCAGTGCGTCACTTGTTTTTGCTTCTATTGGGGCAGGGATAGGTGCAACACTTTTTCGTCCTTCATCTGGTCAGTGGATTGGTAAGCACATCGCCTATCAGTATATTGCAGCTTCTTTTGTGTCTAGCTTATGCCGTCATATCCTGTAAATGATGATCCTAACGTCGATGCGTTTTGTGCAGGATGTGTGATTGGCGATTTGGCAGGTCCTGCTATTGTTTCATTTTGTTTTGAGAAAGTACTTCATATGGACCATTAGACGATCCAGGTTGAATTGTGACTACTCTTGGCAACTGATTCAGAAAAGTATCGCATATCTGAAGAATTTTGAATAATTTATGCCATACATAAGCTCCAATTTACCGAAGCAGTTGGAACCCACCTCACTTATCATCCTTGAAATTTTACCTTACTTTGATTACCATTTGATCTACAAATAATAAGTAACTGATTGTGCGTGCAAGATCCTGCACAATATAAAAAACGAGAACAGATCTCTCCCTTGGTGAACTCGAGTGAGCCAGTTGAGTGACCAACCACGCTGCTTGGAACAGCCTGCGAGGTCCGGTGATAACCTGGAACGGCAACGGGAGACCTTGGGGGAGCGGAAGAACGATCTAGTAAGGCTGAAAGAGGTCCCTGGAACAAAGAAGAACAAGTTAGAAGGGCGCCGGAGTGTTTTCCGGCGTATCCCCTCCGACGATCTAGTCAGTCTTTGAGAAAGAGAGAGGAAGGAGAAAACACTGAGTGTGTATTGTAGTAAAGAGTTTTTTGTTGCATACCCGTCTTGCCTTTTGCAAGGAGTATTTATACCTCAAAAGCTCATGATTGCTGTCAGTAGTCAGTAGGTGATCATTAGGTACAGACAGTGTGCGCACTGATTCTGATGAGGAATGTCTTCTCTTCTTAACTGCTCGGGGTCCCGAGCAATCAATGCTGGGTCATCGGGATGCCGACGGTACAATGTACTCCTCTCGGGGAGGATGCAATAAATGCTCTGTATTAGGAGCATTTATTGCCTTTCATTTCCGAGCCTTACCGCATTGAATGCGGTCTCATCAAGGGAATGGTGTAATTAATCGTTTGCTTTCCCAAGTCGCGTGTCAGCAACGGCATGCGGTTTCTCTGTCTTCGATGTGATATTATATGCCACGCGTCCATCCCCCATTGGCTGTGGCCCCTGCATTCCAGTACGTTCTGACACTAATTGTGTAAGACGAGGTCATGATGAATAGCCTAGACTAGCCTAGGCTAATGACCTGTACGTCAATAGCTTATCCTGGAGTAGAGGAGGCGTCCAGGACGGGGTACACCTCGGCACCGAGGAAAGGCTCATCTCGGAACCGAGGGAGGGATACCGACCGAGGTACCATATCAGACCGAGGCTACGTGTTGGTTGTAAAACGTACTGAATGCCATGATCCTATATGACGAGTACCTCGGGGGCGAGGACCTTGTGCGCCGATGGTGCTTGATCTTAGCAACAGTGTTTTGGTAATACCGAGGACACGTGTCTTCATCATGGAGCATTTCAGAAAAGTCCCATCAACTGCCCCCCAGCCTTCGATCTTCTGACACCGAGGGCACGCGTCGTAAGGAGACGAAGGGTTTCCCAACAACCACCAATGCTTCATCATTGCCTCGAGCCGCTTTCCCCGGCTTGGGATGTCGTGTGCATTAAATGCGCCGTTTCGTTTTTCGCGCCCAATGATGAAATTGCCACTATATAAATGGGGCTCCTCTTCCATTTTCTTGTTTCGCCATTCCGAACTTCCTCAAGAGAGCCTTTTCTTGAATCTTCGCCGGAGATCTCTTTCCTCTTCCATCGTCAACTGCCCGTTCTTCCTTAAAGTCCTAAGGCCAGCAGACCCATCGTTGCTTCTGAACTTTCTGGAAGGAGTCGCCTAAAGTTTTCCAGAAAAAACTCCGTTTGGCATTCGGGTGAGTCCTAGTTTCTTTCTTCTTTTCTTCCTCCTATCCCTTTTTGTTTTCGATGACTGGAGGTGTCTCCGGTTGATACTTAGCGACTAATCCTCGGGAAGCTTCCTCAGGGATTTTTAAGAAAAAAACACCCTCCACTTTCTCACTTTCTTAGAGATGCCTCGTCGTCGCCCTGCTCCCGAGAATCCTCAGGCTGGTTCTTCGGGGTCGGGGAAGTATAAAGTAAAGGGTGGTGAGCAGATTAATAGGTTTAAGGTCAAGTACGGCATTCCCCCGTGCGTAGACATAGAGGATTATGACTCGGTGGTGCACACTCCTACCCTCGGGGCCGAGGATGCTATGCCCTTTTATACCAAGGCCATAATAGAGGGCGGAATTAGGTTTCCTTTACCCCCTTTACTTCTCCAGTTCCTCTCTCACTTCCGCCTCTTCCCCGGGCAGTGTTGCCTTAATGTCTTCAGAATAATTATGGGGGTCTTAGAGCTCAATAGGCGCCTCGGGGTAAATATTGGGCTGAACGATCTCCTTTTTTGTTATTCCCTCTTGAGAGTCATGCCTCACCAACACTTCTACCTCAAAGCCAGGGACCCCTCCATGTACCTTGTAACTCATCTTCCCGACTCGGACAAGGGGTACAAGGACGATATTCTTATTTTCAAGGGATCTTGGCAGAGAGGTTTTGGTCCCGAGTATAACGGCTTGTTATGCCCTCTAGAATGGAGAACGACAAGTACGTCGGTTCCTTCGGGTTTATTATTTTGTTCTCCAGACTTTCGATGCTCATGACTACTTTTTTGTTTGTGCAGATATCTCTGCTCGGGAAACAGCTCCTCCCCCTCGGTCGCTAGTGAACTTTGCCGACCTAGTCACGGTTTGGAGATTTACTGGTGACAACGGGTTCGGCCGGGCTGCCCACATCCTGCTGAATTACACCCCCGGGTATAAGAAATTTTCACAGCTTCCTCAGCCTTTTGAGCCTTCGCGGTGGTCTGAACTCTTCGATCAGGCGGCGAGGCAAGAGGTCGAGGAAAACTTGGAGGAAGACCCTGATCGGGCTTCGGAGGCAGAGGTAGAGGGAGTAGTTGAAGAGCTCGGGGTCAGAGAGGACGTTGTTCCTTCGGACGCCGAGGTGGGGACTTCGGGAGGAGATTTGTGGCCGGACTTCCAAGTTCTACAATCTCTAGACTCCGAGGACGCCCTCGAGGTCGCGATGTCCAGCACGCCTCGTATTGACCTGGGGTTCCTGAGGCAGAGGCAAGCTCTTGCTGCCGGGAGGGGTCGAGGATCGACCGGCGGCGCCCCATCTGCAGGGACCAGTTCCACCCCATCCTCAAGGGTTCTCAGTCGGGGTCAAGTGCGTGACCGGGATCCTCAGGTAGAGGAGGAGAGAAGGGTCAAGCATAGGCACGATGGCCTCGGCAGAGGATCCAGGGCATCTTCCGCTCAGCAGCAAAGCGGGAGAGGCCGTGGGTTACCCCCTGCTCCTCCGCAACAGCAGCAACAGCAACAGCAACGACAACAGCAACAACAAAACAGGCAGCAGCAGACTCCCCCTTCCCCTCCGCCGACAGTGGAAGCCGCGGAGTGGAATCCCCGAGCCACCGATCACATGAACCGAGTGATCAGGGTCGATGATTCCATTTTGCTGGATCCTCATGTCGCCAATGCAGTGAGTGAGACACTGCATTTCGAGGCTGACATGGCGGCTCACAGGGGGCGATCAACGAACGTGTTGTTCCGCTCTATCATCCAGAATTCCCTGGTGGTAAGTTCATTTTTGCTTTGGTTTCTTCTCTCTCGCTTTCCATTTTTGTGACACGCCTTTTTCCCTCCTTTGCAGGCTACCCAACAGATCTCCATAATAGCTGCGCGGTACCATGGGTCTAGGATGGACCTCCAGCGGGCCCGAGAGCAGAAGGAAGAGGCGGAGGGGGCCCTCGCCCGAGCTATGGAGGACGTAGCTGCCAGGGATTCTACCCTGGCGGGGCAGGCTGCTCAAATCGAACAACTCCTCAAGGATGCCGAGTCGGCTAAGGTTGGCGCTGAAAAGCTAAGTGCTGCCCTTGCCGATGCTGAGGGGAGGATCACCGAGCAGACGCGGCGGCTTTCTGCCGCGGAGGAGAGGGCGGTTGGCTCAGAGGAAAGCTGTCTGGCTCTCACCCAGGAGCTGGACAGGATCAGAGCCGAGGCACTGAACAGGAAGTCGGAGGAGCAACTCCGGGAAGAGTTCGCCGATGACGTGCTCCCTGCTCTTGAGGAAAACAGCAAGGAGTTCTTCAAGAAAGGGTGGGACGAGGCGCTCCAGTCTGCTGGAATCCCGTCAGACTCCCCGCTCTTCCAGATGCACAAGTACGTGCCCTCGGCAGAGATGGAACGGGCCGAAGCAGAGATTGCTGCCGAGGATGAGATCCCAACGCCGGTGCAAGTCTCGGCGGATCTGCCCGAGGCAGTGATAGTGGACTTGTCCGAAGAGGCCCCGCCGGACCATGCCCCTGATCCTCATGTTGCTCAAGGTCTCTCTGTTGCCGAAGTACCTCTCCTTCTGCCTGCTCCAGAAGCTTCTCAACCTTTTTATGCTGACTCGCCCTCGGCTGATGTTGTGGAGATGCCCGGGGCCAGATGAAAGCCCCTTTTTCTTTTTGATTGTACTCTTTTTTCTTTTGTAGCCTTTGGGGACGCAAAGCCCCTCTTCTTGAAATAAATCATGAGTACTTTTTCCTTTTTTGCGTACAGTAGTGTTTTGTTTTTTTTTTTTTTTTTTGGAACTGTCTTCGGGGCTGCTCGCCCATTCAAGAGGCACGCTCTTGTGTTTGCTTCGGGGACAGGAGTCCTTGAACTCTGTCCCCAGGGCCTTGCCCTTCCAGGAGGCTTGCTCCTGTATATGCTTCGGGGACAGGAGCCCTTGAACTCTGTCCCCAGGGCCTTGCCCTTCCAGGAGGCTTGCTCCTGTATTTGCTTCGGGGACAGGAGCCTTGAACTCTGTCCCCAGGGCCTTGCCCTTCAGGAGGCTTGCTCCTGTATTTGCTTCGGGGACAGGAGCCCTTGAACTCTGTCCCCAGGGCCTTGCCCTTTCAGGAGGCTTGCTCCTGTATATGCTTCGGGGACAGGAGCCCTTGAACTCTGTCCCCAGGGCCTTGCCCTTTCAGGAGGCTTGCTCCTGTATTTGCTTCGGGGACAGGAGCCCTTGAACTCTGTCCCCAGGGCCTTGCCCTTCCAGGAGGCTTGCTCCTGTATATGCTTCGGGGACAGGAGCCCTTGAACTCTGTCCCCAGGGCCTTGCCCTTTCAGGAGGCTTGCTCCTGTATTTGCTTCGGGGACAGGAGCCCTTGAACTCTGTCCCCAGGGCCTTGCCCTTTATCTTTGTCGTTGGCAAGCACTTGAGGGAGAGAATACTTCAAAAGTAATATTTCTTTAGATTCATAACATTCCATGGTCGCATTACAAGTTTTCCATCCATGCCTTCTAATCTGTACGACCCGGCGCCCCCGATTGATATCACTTTGTAAGGCCCTTCCCAGTTAGGTCCCATTTTTCCCTCTGTTGGATCACG